GGGGTGCGATTGGTTAGCCTATTGGTCAAAGCGTTCGCTCGTCACGTCGAAGGCCCGGGTTCGATTCCCATCATGTGTTCAATGAGTAAACCCTATTTCTGGTGTCCCGTGCTCAGTGCGGCGTTAAACAACCAACCAACCATCGATTGTCGCCTAACATGACAAGCCAAGCGGTGGGTATATTTTAAGCAATGCCCAACATAGACATACACAATGCACTGTCCATGGATCATCGTGATTTTAGGCTAGATATATAAATATATTATTTCGACTTGCTTCAATATATCTTTCCTTTATTTCAAATTGAAGCTGCCTGGTTCCTAAAATACTATGGAGTAACTATATACTCCTTTCTGTTGGGTCTGGTTTACCGGTGCATGCATGCATGCATGATGAGTCATATCCGTCTTACCGCTTATATCTGTTAGTTATACATTTATATTTATATATTTATTATAAATTTGCACACTTCTGAGCTTGCATTACCTGCATCATGTATATGTGATAGGGTTAAGTTAAGGAGGTATTTGAGGTTACCACTAACTTGTATATGTGGGTAGAATGCCATTCTGAAACAATCGTCAATATCCAGCTTGGATACTTCTTAGCATGTTTCAAAGCTTACATTGGTCTGCATCTACAGCATTCTGAAGTATGTAAAATATAATACATCCGATACAAACCCTCTATCGTTATCTATCGTTCTGAGTGATGTATAGTTTATATCCGATATACATACTCCCCCGCGTCTTTCATTTATAATAATGTATATAACATGTCTGATATACAACACCCCGCGTTTCATTCTGAGTAATGTATATTTTATGTCCGATGTACCTGTGTACTTCCCCGTAACTTTGTAAAGAAGAATTATAAAACACTTTCATCTTGTGTAATTTTCGCCTCAATCTTCTGGCAAACCATATACAATTAACCCATCGAACTAATTAAAAGAAGTGGAAAGAGCTTGTCTAAATACAGAGGCAAGTGAAATAATTGTTTTGAAATTATATGAATATTGTTTCTCACATCTACTCATGTGTGAATTACAAGGATTCCCTTCAGCACAGTTACATTAAATAAATTAATGAGGATACATGTTTTGCATTTCTATTCAGATCGTGGGATTGGAGGAGACCGCACGTTAAATTAAACAGAATACGGAAAATTGTTTACAGTTACAAACAAAACAAAATCTAAATGGAATGCATAATGTGTCGGGGCTCTTTTATTTAACGGCCACAATCCGAAATATTTCAGAAACCCCTCGAGTTACCGCTTTTACTTTTGTAATATGGCCGATTCCATTACATTCTATACACTATTGTGACCACAATGTGATGTAGAAACACATCCCTGATTTCAATTATTGATCTAATTATAACATAATTTGTTAAAAGAAATATCGCACAGACACTGTGACATTTGTGCATAAATGTGAATTGCCGCACAGAAAGGTGTGTGAATATTTGTCAAGTACAAAATAACAAAAAAATAATAATAACTAAAGATGTTTCCAATTTATAGTGAAGAATTTAATGTGCGTTATTTATTTGGAATGGGACATGGAAATATACAAAAGATCATATTCAGTACGGTCCCCCCAAAAATATAAACTAAATCATATTCCGCATATATATCGCCATGTGTTTTAGAGCTAACCGAAAGCATTACCGCAGTAAATGGGGTTTTGCGAAATTGTGGACTGTTTATCCCAGTTCTGGTCGTATCCCAGTTCTGGTCGCTACAAGCGTCTGGTGGTTGTGTGTGAGCATCACATTGGTCAGGAGGTAGATCAGCGTCTGGTGGTTGTGTGTGAGCATCACATTGGTCAGGAGGTAGATCAGCGTCTGGTGGTTGTGTGTGAGCATCACATTGGTCAGGAGGTAGATCAGCGTCTGGTGGTTGTGTGTGAGCATCACATTGGTCAGGAGGTAGATCAGCGTCTGGTGGTTGTGTGTGAACATCACATTGGTCAGGAGGTAGATCAGCGTCTGGTGGTTGTGTGTGAGCATCACGCCGGTCAGGAGGTAAATCAGTGTCTGATGGTTGTGTGTGAGCATCACATTGGTCAGGAGGTAAAACAGTGTCTGATGGTTGTGTGTGAGCATCACATTGGTCAGGAGGTAAAACAGTGTCTGATGGTTTTGTGTGTGACAATTACGATGGTCAGAGATATATCAGTGTCTTTTGGTTGTCTGTGAGGATCAAATTGGTCAGGAGGTAGATCAGTGTTTGGTGGTTGTTTGAGCATCACTTTAGTCAGGAGACAAATTGGTGACTAATGGTTGTGTGTGAGCATCATGCTGGTCAGGAGATAAATCAGTGTCTGGTGGTTGTGTTTGAGCATCACTTTAGACAGGAGGTAAACAGTGTCTAATGGTTGTGTGTGAGCATCACGCCGGTCAGGAGGTGAATCAGTGTCTAATGGTTGTGTGTGAGCATCACGCCGGTCAGGAGGTAAATCAGTGTCTAATGGTTGTGTGTGAGCATCACGCTGGTCAGGAGATAAATCAGTGTCTGGTGGTTGTGTTTGAGCATCACTTTAGTCGGGAGATAAATCAGTGTCTGGTGGTTGTGTGCGAGCATCACGCTGGTCAAGAGGTAAAACAGTGTCTAATGGTTGTGTGTGAGCATCACGCCGGTCAGGAGGTAAAACAGTGTCTGATTGTTGTGTGTGAGCATCACGCCGGTCGGGAGGTAAAACAGTGTCTGATGGTTGTGTGTGAGTATCACTTTAGTCGGGAGATTAATCAGTGTCTAGTGGTTGTGTGTGAGCATCACGCTGGTCAGGAGGTAAATCAGTGTCTGGTGGTTGAGTGTGAGCATCACGCCGGTCAGGAGGTAAATCAGTGTCTGGTGGTTGTGTGTGAGCATCACTTTAGTCGGGAGATTAATCAGTGCCTGGTGGTTGTGTGTGAGCATCACGCCGGTCAGGAGGTAAATCAGTGTCTGGTGGTTGTGTGTGAGCATCACTTCTGTCGGGAGATTAATCAGTGTCTGGTGGTTGTGTGTGAGCATCACGCTGGTCAGGAGGTAAATCAGTGTCTCGTGGTTGTGTGTGAGCATCACGCCGGTCAGGAGGTAAATCAGTGTCTGATGGATGTGTGTGAGCATTACGCCGGTCAGGAGGTAAAACAGTGTCTGATGGTTGTGTGTGAGCATCACTTTAGTCGGGAGATTAATCAGTGTCTAGTGGTTGTGTGTGAGCATCACGCTGGTCAGGAGGTAAATCAGTGTCTGGTGGTTGTGTGTGAGCATCATGCCGGTCAGGAGGTAAATCAGTGTCTGATGGTTGTGTGTGAGCATCACTTTAGTCGGGAGATTAATCAGTGCCTGGTGGTTGTGTGTGAGCATCACGCCGGTCAGGAGGTAAATCAGTGTCTCGTGGTTGTGTGTGAGCATCACTTTAGTCGGGAGATTAATCAGTGTCTGATGGTTGTGTGTGAGCATCACGCTGGTCAGGAGGTAAATCAGTGTCTCGTGGTTGTGTGTGAGCATCACGCCGGTCAGGAGGTAAATCAGTGTCTGATGGTTGTGTGTGAGCATTACGCCGGTCAGGAGGTAAAACAGTGTCTAATGGTTGTGTGTGAGCATTACGCCGGTCAGGAGGTAAATCAGTGTCTGATGGTTGTGTGTGAGCATCACGCTGGTCAGGAGGTAAATCAGTGTCTAATGGTTGTGTGTGAACAACAGGAGGGTCGTGTGAAACGGTGACTGAGGGCAGGGAGAGCAACAGTGTCTGAGGTGAGTGTGTGAATATCGGGGAGAGAAACACTGAGTGTGTGTTTGTGTGTCGGTCTTCGTCATAGTCGCCCAAAGAGTAACAATTAGGTTACTTAACATACCTTTACTTAGCATAGGTGCAACCATTTGGAGTAATATAAATGGCTACACTGAGTGACTGAGTAATACGAGTGTGCGAAATACGCTACAGTCGGAAAGCGCACGTTAAATCTCCTATATTAGTCAGTCAGACTGAGTAAGGTTTTACGCCTCTTTTGGCAATATTCCAGCAATATCACGCAGGGGGACACCAGATATATGGCTCCGAAGGCGAATTGGCCACCCGTGCGGCCGTGCCCCCAGCTACAAGTACAGACGCTTGTATCATACACTACCTCTGCATGTTGTAACAGTGTCGTGCATCTGGTTCACTGATACCACCACCAGATGAAGATATCAGTGAACTTGACCTGCTGCACTCACCCATGGGTGAAACAATACAGTGAAACCTCGTCAGTACGGAAACCTTGCATTCCGGGCGATCATGTTGCGAACGTCATTTGGATTCAAATGAACTTTACTTCACATATGATTCCTTTATACGAAAACTTGTTAATCCGAACGATTTCACTGGTAACGCTAGCGTCCGGATTAACGAGATTTACTGTATATGAATTCCTAGGACCGCAGATTTGAATCATAACATGACAGATTGATATTAACAATAATATGTTATATCTCAACTATCATTTTGTGAATTCAGGGAGCACGGGTGGCCCATTCGTCTAAGGCGCCGAATAAAAACCTAAGTATGATTTTGGGTTCGAATCCTCGTTAGCCCCGATTATGTTTCTAGATTTGCCAGCATCACACCCATGCTCGTAGGTTTCACCAAATGGTTTCACCTAGACCTGCATGACTTTGGGCTTTCCTTCCACATTAAGCTGACACTGCGTAATGTAACTGGAATACTGTTAAAATCGGCGTTAAGCCCAGCTGACTCACTTATTGTAAGTTCAAATTATGACTACATGCATTACATGTACGTTACTCGATATTCGTCATTCGAGATAATTCATTTGATAAAGTCACAATACAAGAAGGTACACTAACTTGAAGAATGTAATACTATTCTTTGGAATCCAAATGAAACCAAATGTAGTATCGTGTTACCATTGTCTACTGTCTCTGACATTAACTATGCTCTGATTTAAAACCCAAACTAATGCATAATTAATTAGTCAAATAGTTAATCATGTTTCGATTCTTTTCAGATCTTCTTTTCGGACAGATCCCCGTGCTTGAGGTGGACGGGAAACAGTATGCACAGAGTATGGCCATCGCAGGGTTCCTTGCGAGGGAGTTTGGTAGGGGGAGTAACCACTCAGCTCAGAGAAACTACTTATATTCTGTACCGACTAAGAGAATAGTAAAATAATATTTACAACGTTCATTTACACGGGGCAGGTGATCCGTACTTCCGAGTCTCGGGAAGCGTATTTGTAAAATACATGTTCTTTCTTGATTTTTAAGGAAAAAAATGATAAAAAAACAACAACCTAAAACGCTGTGCTGATGAATAATATGACACCCTGTCGTATTGTTCAGAGTGAGTGAGTGAGTTGGGTTTAACGCCGCTTTTAACAGTATTCCAGTTATATCGCGGCGTGTCAGCTTAATGTGGGAGGAAAGCCCGAAGTGAGGCAGGTCTCAGACGTTTACTTTGGTGAAACCACGAAGTGAAATGTATGGAGCCCATTCGTTATGTCCTTGGTCTTCAGCAACTCATTCTTGTCGTAAAAGGCGAGTAACGGGATCGGGTGGTCAGGCTCACTGACTTGGTTGATGCATATCATCGTATCCCTATTGCGTAGATCGATGCTCATGATCTCAATCACTGTATTGTCTGGTCCAGACTAGCATTCAAGACCTCCGTCATGAAGATGGAAAATTGCCGTGTGCGGCGTGAAATAATAAACAAAGTTTTTATTTCCACCGGATACAACTGGAATAAAAATATTGTTCATTATGTGCTTATATTTCCTTCACAGTACACAATAAGTTTATTCAGTCACATTATGGATTCAGCTTTTGATTCTGGGTCAGAAAAGCTGCCAGTAACTGATGATTGTTGTAAGGGCCGACTAAAATGGGGTTCGACTGTGCTGATTTTGTGTAATCGTCCCCCGACGGCGTTGGGCGTTGGGCGTTGGGCGTTGGGCGTTCGGAATGATATCAACGACTGGTTTGTCTGGTCCAGACTAGATTATTTACAGACCGCCGTCATTTGGCTGTGGCATTCGTAACTGAGGCGTTAAACACTATGTTGTCATTCTAAGGGTTTCACGGGAAGACCAGTGTTGAGCAGATGGAAGTCGACCAAGTAATCGGCATCATCGTCGACATCTTCAATGCCCTCATCAAACAGATCCACGAGCAGGATGAAGGAAAGAAGGTAGGCGTCATCACCCTAACCATTATCAAGACGATAAGAGCGAATCAAGCAGTACTCATATTCGTTGTTATCTTAGTGAGTTGTTGTGTGAATTGCGTTAACGATGCCGCTTAAGTAGTTAAACTGTTTCTACACTTCATCTTATCAAGGTCAAAGTTGCTTCATCAGTACGAACTCTTCCGTATTGTATGTATAACGGAATAAGAATAAAACGATTCACCGTGATTTAATGGTGTGAGGCATCGACTAATAGCAACTCTTCATGGATTATCTGGATATATTTTAGTACTCACGATCCAACCTCGGAAGGTGAAAGTCCACCATGAACAGCCCATGCTTGTACGAGTGAGTGAGTGTGTTGGGTTTAACGCCTTTTGAACAGTATTCCAGTTTTATCACGGCGTGTCAACTTAATGTGGGAGGAAAGCCCGAAGTGATACAGGTCTCAGACGTTAACCACTTGGTGAAACACACGAGCACGGGTGTAGTACTGACAAATCTAGAATCATTGGATTCGAACCCACGATTATAGGTTTCTGGCCTGTCTAAGGGACGCAAATCTGCACAGCGAATTGGCGACTGGGCATGGAAAAGAGACCAAGAATCAAATCTTGGATTCGAACCCTCGATCAAAAGATCCAAGCACAGCTAAGGGTTACAACTCCGCACAGAGACTGCAGACGTAGCACCTTTGAGCACGTGTCCATCGGTGCCATCCTTATGTCAATTTATATATATTTTGAAATACACAATACTCTTAAAACAATACAACATGAAATGCAAACAAAAAGATTTAAATGAGCATTTTATACGTATAGTATGTGGTAACAATGTGGTACGTTTTTCTTTTTTCGCAGGCTGACATAATAAAGCAAAACAATGAGACAACTTTTCCGAAATTCGTCAGCTTCTTTGAGAAGATATTGAAGAACAATAATACGGGATTTTATGTCGGGGACAAGGTAAGTAGGAATAACACACACGTGGCTATAGACTGATATAGACATGCACCACGACAACGGTATGCTGACTGTATGACATCAGAGTGAGTGAGTATGGTTTTACGCCGCTTTTAGCAATATTCCAGCTATATCACGGCGGGAGACACCAGAAATGGGCTTCACACATTGTACCCATGTCGGGAATTGAACCCGGGTCTTCGACGTGACGAGCGAACGCTTAAACCACTGGGCTACCCGGCCGCCCCCGTATGACATCAGAAGGATCATCATAATAATAACAATATGTGGGGTGGCTTCAGAAAACGTTTTCCTGACTGGAATTGAAAAGCTTCACTGTCGATATGAGAAGTGTATAATCAGGGAGATTATGTTGAAAAATATAATGAAAACAATGTTAGGCTTAGAACCTTTTGACCAGCCCTCGTACGTCAAAGTAATGACCAAGGTTGGTCAGTAGAGTGTCTATGTCATGACCAAGGTTGGTCAGTAGAGTGTCTATGTCATGACCAAGGTTGGTCAGTAGAGTGTCTATGTCATGACCAAGGTCGGCAGTAGTATGTCCATGATATGATCAAGGTCGGTCAATAGTATGTCCATGATGTGACCAAGGTCGGCAGTAGTATGTCCATGATATGATCAAGGTCGGTCAATAGTATGTCCATGATGTGACCAAGGTCGGCAGTAGTATGTCCATGATATGATCAAGGTCGGTCAATAGTATGTCCATGATGTGACCAAGGTCGGCAGTAGTATGTCCATGATATGATCAAGGTCGGTCAATAGTATGTCCATGATGTGACCAAGGTCGGTCAGTAGTATGTCCATGATGTGATCAAGGTCGGTCAATAGTATGTCCATGATGTGACCAAGGTCGGTCAATAGTATGTCCATGATGTGACCAAGGTCGGCAGTAGTATGTCCATGATATGATCAAGGTCGGTCAATAGTATGTCCATGATGTGACCAAGGTCGGCAGTAGTATGTCCATGATGTGACCAAGGTCGGCAGTAGTATGTCCATGATATGATCAAGGTCGGTCAATAGTATGTCCATGATGTGACCAAGGTCGGTCAATAGTATGTCCATGATATGATCAAGGTCGGTCAATAGCATATCCATGATGTCGGTCCATGATATTACCGCAATATGATATAGGAACAATTAGCGTATGAATATAAATTTGTCGTCTGTCAATGTTTTACTTTGTATTTTGGTATTTATACTATACACGTGTTTAACAAACTTTTAACTTTATATATTTACAGCTTGGATTTGCAGATGTCGCTGCCTTTGACACCCTTTCCCAAATCGAGGCAGGAATCAATATTGATGATTTCCCCTTGGTGAAAGCCAATAAGGAGAAAGTGGCCTCCAATGAAAGAGTTGCAAAATGGCTGCAAGACCGGCCGGTCACACGATTCTGAGCAAGCCAAAGTGGCGGTCAAATATGCCCAAACTGAACCAAAGGGCAGGGCCCACTCCTAAAAAGCCTATGTTAAAAAATGGGAGTTACGATCATCTTTGCGCAAAGAACGCTTTGTACAAGTGGTCCATGTACTGTTCCTAGAGGCATACTCTTATATAGCTAAATGCTTGAAAATTAGACTGCAACACCTATGGTCCACGAGCTTGAGCCTATATCCAGACTGGGTCTTTGTAATTCATTCTCCCCCAGACTGGGTCTTTGTAATTCATTCTCAAAATTAAGATAATCATCAATTGATAGATTGATATACGTAATGATATATGTGTTTAACGTTATGATATATGTGCTTCCACACACTACAGGTTTGATTGAATTTAAAGACAGTTTTGTCTCGACCCTTGAAGCATATTAATCATGTAGTTCATTTTCGTCAAAATAATAAATATACATCTTGTCTCAGACCGCAATGGACATTTGTTATTGCAGACGATTTCACTGGGAACGGAACTATCCGGCTAACGGAGTTTCACTGTTTTCTATTTCTCCTTATATATTGTTTGTTTGTTGTTGTTTAACGCCGCACTCACCAATATTCCAGCTATATGACGGCGGTCTGTAAATAATCGAATCTGGATCAGACAAACCATTGACTGATATCATGAGCATCGAACCACGCAATTTGGATACGATGACATGCATCAACCAAGTCAGCGAGTCTGACCACTCGATCCCGTTAGTCGCTTCTTACGACAAGCATATAGTCGCCTTTTATGGCAAGCATGGGTTGCTGAAGACCTATTCTACCCCGGATCTTCCCGGGGGGAGACAAGCATGGGTTGCTGAAGACCTATTCTACCCCGGATTTTTAACGGGGGGAGACAAGCATGGGTTGCTGAAGACCTATTCTACCCCGGATCTTCACGGGGGGAGACAAGCATGGGTTGCTGAAGACCTATTCTACCCCGGATTTTTAACGGGGGAGACAAGCATGGGTTGCTGAAGACCTATTCTACCCCGGATCTTCACGGGGGGAGACAAGCGTGAGTTGCTGAAGACCTATTCTACCCCGGATCTTCACGGGGGGAGACAAGCGTGGGTTGCTGAAGACCTATTCTACCCCGGATCTTCACGGGGGGAGACAAGCATGGGTTGTTGAAGACCTATTCTACTCCGGATCTTCACGGGGGGAGACAAGAAAGGGTTGCTGAAGACCTATTCTGTCCCGGATCTTCACGGGGGGAGACAAGCATGGGTTTGTTTTGTGCAGAGCAAAATTATTAATGGTACCAACATCGGTTCTCATATTCCTGTTATGGGAATATATAGTGTTGGTTGGTTGGTTTGTTGTTTTACGCCGCACTCAGCAATCTTCCAGCTTTATGACGGCGGTCTGTAAATAATCGAGTCTGGACCAGATAATTCAGTCATTCATATCATGAGCATCGATCCACGCAATTGGCATACGATGACATGCATCAACCAAGTCAGCGAGACTGACCACCCGATCCCTTTAGTAGAATAAATAGTGAAACGGTTAACATACTAATAGTGCAGTCCAGAGTTGTAAGCATCTAAAAAAACTAAGAAAACTGCGCGTTTGGTTCCCCATTCAATTTAGTACAGTGAATTCTACAAGTAACCTGTCACTGCATTGAAAACCCAGAATTGTTATCTCCTAAATGATGTATGTGTTTAGATTTAATAAATGCATGGTGTTTGAAACAGGGATTCAATATATCTCGTGAAATATGCAGTAATGATGATTATTCGTCGAAACATACCTACTAGTGTTTAGTGTATGTATAGAGAATAGGTCTTCAGCAACCGATGCTTGTATCACGAGACGACTATGCTTGTCGTCAGAGGCGACTATCGGGATCGGGTGGTCAGGCTCGCTGACTTGGCTGATGCATGTCATGGAATCGCAATTGCGTAGGAGCCGTGAAGATCCGGGGTAGAATAGGTCTTCAGCAACCCATGCTTGCCATAAAAGGCGACTATGCTTGTCGTAAGAGGCGGCTAACGGGATCGGGTGGTCAGGCTCGCTGACTTGGTTGAAGCATGTCATCGTATCCCAATTGCGTGGATCGATGCTTATAATGTCAATCACTGGATTGTCTGGCGCAGACTCGATTATTTTACAGACCGCCGTCATATAGCTGTAATATTGCCGAGTGCGGCGTTAAACAACAAACAAACAAACAAATCTGTGAGGATATACAGATCTCCAAATATATACTAGTAACATTATTAATACAATTTCACTGATGCTTTGATAGACTTGGACACGTTTAAAGGATAGCCTTACATTGTATAGACATTAGTCATATATATTTTTCAACTGAAGGATATTCGCAATAGTATTTTGGAAGATATCGATTTCTGAGGACATTTAAGTTAGGTTAATATAACATGAAATGTAACTCGTCGCCTATTCCAGGATTACATAACGTACAAATTCAAATTCCCTGCTCACACTGTAGCATCGACCAGTTTCTATTGGAAGATGGTGATTATCTAATCCATTGCGAGTTAAACATACCTTAGCTTTTCAGGCTGAGATAATAGGTGTTGTTCAGTGATATGTAACTGCTTAAACATAGGGGCAAACTAGCGGTGAAAATTATGTGAATTGGATCACAAGAAATCAGTGACGACTACAAAGGCAATATCATATTGTAACACATTTTCTTACATGTAGTGTTGATTGACGATTGTTTAACTGGGGCCGTCAAGGTGGCTTGTTATGGGTGGATGGTCACGGGCTGAGCTTCCCGGGGGGAGCAAGCTTCAGTAACAAAGCATGTTGTCACGGTAACAATCGTGTGATTGTCAGACAAAAGAATGAGACCAGCTGACGTTGTATACCGAAGCTAATGAAATGCTCATCTTGTAAACTTCGCGTCTTTGCGAACTCATTTAGAATGACTGCTTGTAGACTGAGTTGTATCACACAGAGAGAAAGAGCCAGAGAGCCAGATTGAGAGAGGGGCGTAGAGCAAGAGCGAGTTCGATAGAGAGGGACATAGAGCAAAAGAGAGAGATTGTTTATTACAGCCAGAGGATATCGAAGGTGTGTGCTGGCTATTTTTCTTGGAAAAGAATCACAGGTAACATGACACAAATGAATATGTGTTGAAGTGTACAGGGGGTATTTGTCGAACGTTCAAAAGGATATTTTAAGTTCCCAAACTGAATTAACCTCTACATAGAAGGGTTCACGCATGTAGCTTCTCGTACAGTTGTGCACAATGAAGCTATGCCAACAGACACGAAGTAGAGCTTAATCATGAATAATGAAGAAAAGTAAAATTACCTACATTTGTTTTGATATTCTATTTACTTATATGGGAAAGACGTCCACCGGTATCCTCCAACCCAAACCCCACCCCACCCCACCGCATCCCACCCCCATCCCCACACCATCAAAAACATATTTTAGTTAAACGCGGAAATCTATAGGACATAAATTCGAAGGGGGAGGGGGTATACGGACAGAAGTCTTTTCCAAGTGTATACTGTAGAATTAACTATTTATTTTTAAACTGTTTAATGTTATATATCAGTTCATTTCAGTGGTCCATAAATATCAATTCGTACGTCACTTCCCATACTCGCCCAGATCCGAAGATCCGAAGATCCGAGTCATCCATCGTTGGTGTACGTGTATGTACAGTACTTCCGTCTTCACTGTTTTGTCTCCTTCTTCACCTCAGTAATTTCGGCTGACCTGCCTCTCTTTGGGACTCGTATGTTTGAGTAGGGTGAAATATATCAGTTGGATTTAAGTATTGATATTTTTTCTGTTTATATATTGATAACATTTCTTTTTTCGGACTGATAAAAAAAAAAAAAATTGAAAATGGATACGATTTCAGTGGTTGTTGTGTTTAGAGACACCAGCTTTCAGAAATAGTTCGATTTAGTACATATATGCAATAATACATAGGTTTAGTGCATCGTGTGTGTTCAATAGCTAGACATCAACAAGAGACAGACTTATCTTAGACACGTCCTAAAACGGAAAAAAGGTTACAAATGAATTCTGTTTGAATGAACCAAGAGACTGCAACGAATTCAGTAATCCATATTTGTTGCTTTTGTTTCGCATGGCTGCCAAAAGGTTTAGCAACGTGTTAAGGTTGAAAGTTTGAGTAAATATAAAGTCATCTTCCAAACATTGCCACAAGAAGAAACTCTGTATCAACAGAGATGAAGCTCTTAAAACTATCTGCATTGAGATCTCTACATACGAATCTGAAGCGAAAATCTACGATTTGATAAAATATAATTCCGAATGTTTTGTATAACAATAAATCGTTGAATTTGACTGTGGTCGGTAAAAACAAATTGGAGTACGAATTTTGGCATAAAGTAAATTCATAATAAATGTACTTAGAAATTCTCAATACAGAATCCAGACAAACTCTAGAATTTATGTCTTATGTTAGACACTGGTTTTCAGAAGTTTACACTATTCTTTGACAGTGATAGCAATTACCGCAGTAGTTTCTCCAGATTCCCTATGGTCATTTCTGACTGGATCGCCGAATGACAAGGCGACGCCATGTTTGTTGTAATCACAGCATGTCTATCCGCACATGACCCATTGTTCAGTTGGCTTTGTCCTGCCGAGACACCTACCCCATTATATATGATTTATCTTTATTTTGCCACTGTTGCCGTTACGTACAACCTTGGGGTACAACAATACAGGAGATAATGTTGAAGGATTGCATAATATTTCTGTAAAAGGGTATTAGGAATATAAGGGGCGGTGGAGTTGCCCAGTGGTTAAAACGTTCGCTCGTCACGCAGAAGGCCCGGGTTCGATTCCCCTCATGGGTACAACGTATGAAGACCATTTCTGGTGTCCCCCGCCGTCATATTGCTGGAATATTGTAAAACCATACACACTCACTCACTGCTAGGAATAATACAAATATGTTTGTAATGCTGTTGTGTATGCAAAACCTGATCCTTAAACGTTGGTATATAATGTAACAGACTTAACCGCTATGTTTATAGTTTGTTTGTTTGTAGTTTAACGCAACACTCAGAAATAATCCAGCTATATGACGGCGGTCTGTAAATAATCGAGTCTGGACCAGACAACCCAGTGATTGATATCATGAGCATCGATCCACGCAATCAGGATACGATGACATACATCAACCAAGTCAGCGAGCCTGACCACCCGATCCCGTTAGTCGCCTCTTACGACTAGCATAGTCGCCTTTTACGGCAAGTATGGGTTTGCTTGCGACCTATTCACCCCGGATGTTCACGTGTCCGCTTTGTTTATAAGCTAGCATGGTGCTTGGTGTTAGATATGATGCACTATACAAATCATGACCCAAGAGAACATTTAAAAAATGGCAGGGTAATACATGTCGCGACCTAAAACAACCAGGAAAAAGAAGAGAACATTTAAACTGAGTAAGAAAGTTTCATATAAAGAAAGACTACATTATTGTCTACGTGTAATCAAGATGATGAAAAGATTATTAAGAACAACTTTTCAAGATGGGTTCACAGTGTTCAGAATTATTTTTATTACATGGTTAAACATGGTGTTCAGAGTTTTGGGCAATACTTTAAAGATAAATCTACTAAAGATAATATCTAGAAGCCTGACTCTGCCATTGGATTGATTATTTATTGCTTTCGAGCACATGTTTGTCCAATTCTCTTGTAGTGAGGACAGGGGTTTAGTAACTGTTCTCCCTTAGAAAATATTCATAAATCATTTCTGAACTCATGCCTTAAATTACGAGAGACTTCATCCATTCACATGCTTGATGTGGAAACAAGTCGCTTACCTTTATATGATCTAGTTAAGAAGCTTTCAGTGATGATGTATAAAGTTTTATATAAAAATTATGTAGATGAAGTTAATTGTTCTCCATCGCTCTTATATATCAAGATGAAAACAAAGTTATATGGATTTAAGTGTTGTTGGGCAATGCGATCTCTTGGTGACTGCCTCCAACAGAAAACATAATGGCTCGATATCCTCCAGTAGTTTTCAACTGATGTTCAACCTCTAATAGTTTTCAACTGATGTTCAACCTCTAATAGTTTTCAACTGATGTTCAACCTCTAATAGTTTTCAACTGATGTTCAACCTCCAATAGTTTTCAACTGATGTTCAACCTCTAATAGTTTTCAACTGATGTTCAACCTCTAATAGTTTTCAACTAATGTTCTACCTTCAATAGTTTTCAACTGATGTTCAACCTCCAATAGTTTTCAACTGATGTTCAACCTCCAATAGTTTTCAACTGATGTTCAACCTCCAATAGTTTTCAACTGATGTTCAACCTCTAATAGTTTTCAACGGATGTTCAACCTCTAATAGTTTTCAACTGATGTTCAACCTCTAATAGTTTTCAACTGATGTTCAACCCCCAGTAGTTTTCAACTGATGTTCAACCTCTAATAGTTTTCAACTGATGTTCAACCTCTAATAGTTTTCAACTGATGTTCAACCTCCAGTAGTTTTCAACTAATGTTCTACCTTCAATAGTTTTCCGCTAATGTTTAACCTCCAGTAGTTTTCAACTAATGTTTACTCCAATAGTGCAGGAATGCACGCAGTGAAGTCATCGTAGGATAGCCAAAACGCAACTATTCCTTTTCAAAAAGTTAAATCAAAATACATCACTTTAAAAAATTATTTTCTTTTTTTTTCATGTTCATATCAAAAGTTTCATAAAACAAACAACAAAAACACAGAGTTAAGCATTGTATCCCCGTCGTACAAGGACATAAGTGTTCCATCAGGCAGAATAATTTTCGAATCTTGCCGATGCCGACGCTGATTGGACAGCTATGTCTACTATTCCACCAGACCCGTGAGGATTCCAGGATAGAACAGGTCTTCAGCAACCCATGCTTGCCGTAAAAGGTGACTATGCTTGTCGTAAAAGGTGACTAACGGGATCGGGTGGTCAGGCTCGCTGACTTGGTTGATGCATGTCATCGATCCCAATTGCGTGGATCGATGCTCATGATATTAATCACTGGGTTGTCTGGTCCAGACTCGATTATTTACAGACCGCCGTCATATAGCTGGCATAATGATGAGTGCGGCGTTAAGCAACAAACCAAAAATACTATTCCACCATCCGAATCTTCAGTTGTAGCAGGTGCTGTTGCCCTCGATGCCATGGTCAAGCGTCGTTTTCTGCTCAGTTCTCACAAATTAGAAATTGAACGTGGAAGACATTATAATATTCCTCATGAATTTAGAAAATGTAAAGTTTGTGACTTATCGATATCGAAAATGAATATCACTTTTTGTTAATTTGTCCAGCTTATAGCCATCTTCGGCAAAGTTACATAGAATCTAAATTTTACATCTTTCCACATATTCCGAAGTTTCATACACTACCGTAATATCGCCAAACCCTATTATCAATATGAAAACAACAACATACTTGTTTAATGCCAATGCTGCAAGGACACAAATACTCCAACACTGATAATATGCAATAAGGTTAAAACTGGTTTTGTTAAAAAAATCAATGAAATGTTTTTTTATATTTTATACTGTTTACACCAAAATTATATTATGTTTGTACAAAAGGCCCTTGACCTACACGTGTTGAATCAAGTGAATAAAGTAAAACCTCTGGTAATTGATGTCAATGGCTTCCCGAGGATAACTGCTCACGTGGCCCAACACCCCAGCAGATGTTCTCTATAATCAAGTGTAAACTGGTCAATTTTCTGTTGCATTTTTTAGATCGAGATATAGTCTAAAAAGAACAAGAAAGTTACACAGACTTTTGCAGGACATCTTTAAAAAGGTTGTTGTCAACTTGTATACCGTATAAGGAAACAGCGCATTTAATCGAATATACAGTTCTCCTCTTACAGAGATACAGGAACCCATGTAGCAGGTGCACCAGGAACATTTCATCAACCATCAACGCTCTCTATAAGAGCACATAAGGTGATCATATGACATTGTCACGTCATTAATTAATTTACACATTTCACTCCTTAATAAGCTGCTAACAACAATGCAATATGAAATCATATGAATCACATTTTTTTTATAATTTAGGAAAATAACGAAATTGTTGCTTTCAAATTAATATTGCTTCCATCAGTTTATATTATGAGTCTACCTTGAAGCTACGAATCACGAGAGTGGCCAGTTCGTTCTGCTATTAGCTTTCATCGAGGCAAGAATCATATAGCCTGGTTAGCGCCTTCGCTCTTGTCCTCCAGATCCTAGACAATAAATTAAGCAATGAACTCAACTCAAGTCTAGAATTATTCGACAAGCCCAGATTGCCTCAGCTCCTAAATTCAGTATTGCTCTGAGCCCCATGAGGATTTTATTTTATATTTTCATGATATATATTTTTTAATAAGATAACGTTATTTCTGGGACTAAATGTTAGTCTTCCCTCTCCCACAGTGAACGATTACTGAAGAAACCTTGAACGCCACCTGTCTTGCATGTTTTCCTCCATCAATATCAGCGTACCAAACATTGTCCCCCGTGTACTGGAGGGGCGCACATAGAATGCCCTGCATTTACCATTTCTGGGCCTGAAAATATTAGTGTTATAGATATTAAGTATCCATATTTTGCAAGTAATATTGACATTTTCGGAAATAAAACTTTGAGAAAAAGAACGAAGTCTATACAGTATCCCCTTGTTCATTGCCTATAATTATTCAATGTAATAAAAATTTATATATATTACCATCCATATCAATATCAAGACAGATATACAGATAACAGAACGACAGGCATATCGATGAGTACGTACGTGAGTGAGTTGGGTTTAACGCCGCTTTGAACAGTATTCCAGTTATGTCACGGGGTGTCAGCTTAATGTGGGAGGAAAGCCCAAACCGATGCAGGTCTCGAATGTTTATCATTTTGGTGAAACCCACGAGCACGGTATTGTGCTGACAAAACTAGGAACATATTCGGGTCGAAACCGGGATTCGAAACCACCGAACTCACCTCATAACTCTACGCATAGATAACCCTGTGATGCAGCATGGTGCTTGTGTTTCAGATGCTGATGATGGGTGAGCTAATAGCCTTTTTCAAGTCTGTTATCATCATTCTTCTGAAACTGGTATTGCTGTTTCTGAAGAAGCGACACAGCAAGGAGCAGAACCTATCGGAAAATGACACCACCAACGACTCAGGATTCGGATCACACAGCCCTTCAAGCCGTGAAGATGAAGCATTTGACCTGTCCTCTGAATTGGATGCTGAGATTGGCAGACTCCGTACAGAAAACAAGGCCCTCCGGGATATAATGTCCAAGGAACATCACGGGCCACGAAGCGACTTTAATCGAAATGCAGTGAAGAGTTTGTGTAGCCGAAGGGGGACCAGTTTAACTGACATGTCACATCATGTGGACTTTGTGACCAGTACCCCTCGGTCACCGGCACCTGACGTCGCCGTACACGACGTCGTATGCCAGAAGCTGATGCTAAAACTACAACTGGAGAGGGAAGAGAATGACCGACTTCAGAATTACATCAACGACATTATGTACATGGTACTTGAAAACAGACAGAGCTTATTAGAAAAATGAAAAATCACACCAATGCGTGTTTGCTATACGTTGTCCAACTAAATAATAAACGTTTGTTTGTTTTGTTTGTTGTTTAACGCTGGAATAATAAATGTGACATGACTGTTTACTTGTACTATATTTGGAAAGGAGCGGATGAGTGTAGTTTTACACCGAAGTTATCAATATGACAGCTCTGTCACGATTTGTTTGTTTTGTTGTTTAACGCCGCACTCAGCAATATTCCAGCTACATGACGGCGGTTAGTAAATAATCAGGTCTGGACCAGACAATCCAGTGATTGATATCATGAGCATTGATTCTCGAAATTGGGATGCGATTACATGCATCAACCATGTCAGCGAGCCTGACCACCCGATCCAGTTAGTCGTCTCTTACGACAAGCATAGCCTCCTTTTACGGCAAGCATGGGTTGCTGAAGACCTATTCCACCCGGATCTTCACGGATCAGCTCTGTCACAACGACCTGCAGATAATTAATCTTGGCCTGATTAAATCATAGACTGGAAGCATTGGCAATTTATTACAATTGTTGTCTTGGTAACGTGACGCTCTGTCAGGGAGGTGGCACATGGTAAACTGTCGGAATAACCGCACGTGTTTGCAACATACACAGTTTACCTTTTTCGTCCACGTTCAGACTCCTAAACCAACTTGCACAACGCGATCTTAGCTCTAAGATGATCGTAACTCCCATACTTTAACATAGGCTTACGATAGTCTTAGCGCTAAGATCGCTTTGTGCAAGTGGGCCCTGATAACGTATTACGACCGAGTATCCTTATAGACTGTCGTGCGACTGTCCGCCGATTCATAGTGGTGTGGTGTGGTGTGGTGTGGTGTGGTTGATATTGTGAGCAACTATCCACGCCGTCGGCGTACGACGACACGTAGTCAACCAATTCATCTGACCACCCGATCCTCTCGCCTCTTGCGACCAGGGGAGCACGGGTGGCCCAGGGTAGCAGCACTGTTTCAGCGATGTCGGCATACCTGTAAGCGAGTTAGGGGCACGGGTGGCCCAGTCGTCTGAGGCGCCGCGAGATTCGCTGTTCAGAGTTGCGTCCCTTGGACACGCCAGAAACTTTTGACTGTGGGTTCGAATCCCGGTTCGCCCCGATTATGTTTCTCGTCGGTTTCACCGAAGTGGTAAACGTCTGCATCACTTCGGGCTTTCCTCCCACATCAAGCTGACACGCCGCGATATAACTGTAACACTGTTAAAAGATGCGTTAAACGCAACCAGCGTAGGATGCCGGGGAGCAATTCTAGCCATGAATGATTAAATATGTATTGACGTAAAACCTTTTATGCCTTTACTTAAAAAATACTTGTTATTTTCAACTTGACCACACAAAAAGAAGACCCAAAATCAACGCGATTTACCTCCTGTGACGTCATGTATTGATATTTGTTACAAGACAACTGACAAGACAACAAATTACTCATTTCTTTACCAGGACTATGTTTGCTCATAACAGGCCCTCCAACAAGGGCATGTAAAAATTTGGTGATTGATAAATGTGCACGAGTTAAAATATGAACCGTATATGTGCCACGGAACAGGCATTGCAAATCACGTGCATATCACGCAGGAGCTGCTCACAGGTAAACATATCTTTTTCAATACGGTTATCAAAACAACGTGGTTTAAACAACGTAAGTGCTTGGGTTCCTTGAATATTGCCCATATATTGAGTAGGTTAGATCACTTGAACTCTGACATCTGAATAATCACCACTAGATGACGTAACAGCAGGTTTCTTATTGTTGAAAGAAATCGCTGTCAGTTCGTTAGTGTCACGAGAAACTTGTGTTGCACGTGCGAAACTGACAAGTCGTCGGTCGACTCGTCTGCTGCGCTTGGTCTCGTCTCTGTCCAGTACCAAAAGCATAAGCGTGTGCCGGGCCTGTACTTTCAACATACATTTCTGTTATGTTAATCTATAAGATATGATAATCATGATTCATTGTGGTGTTTAAATTTCTCATGTTATTAGTGAGTGAAATTGGTTTCACTGCTTTGAACAGTATTCCCGTTTATCGTTATTGCTGATCATTTTCCGCTCTGGCGGATAGTGTCTGTGGAAGGTCTGTGGTTCGATCCACTGGCCGCGTCAGATCCCAAAAATGTGAAAAAATGGTACTTTTTCACACAAAATGGCGTTCAGCATTAAAAGTCCAAGTAATCTGGGCCATTTTGTCACTCAACTTGGAATAAATTGCAACCGAATTTATTTCACCACAATGAATTTCTACAAATTCCCAAGAACAACAAACTAAAAGTCCCAAGCAATCCTGGTTTGGGAAATATGTCTAATTTGCATAATCCAATATGACTACCAATTATCAATATCTATTCCATGTTTGAGATGAGGTTCAATCTTTTGATGATAAAAGGCATGTGTTGTGTTGTGAAATAGCCATATTGTGTTTCTAAAAAGATATTAACTATAACTGAACGTTTTCGACTTTGGATAAATCTACAAATATTGAAGATGGCCACCAAATTCAAGATGGCCGCCAAGTTTCCTTAATATGAGTTTAGACTATGGAATTTTTAACTCTAAAGACCGCCGTGGTCTGGAGGTAGAGCGTCCGCCTGTAGAGCTGAAGGTCCGGGGTTCGATCCCCGGGCGCGTCATACCAAAAGACGTTAAAAGATGGTACTTGTTACCCTGCCTGGCGCTCGGCATTAAGGGGCTAAAACAAGGACTGGTGGGCTCGGAGTCAGTATACTGTGTCTGAGTGGGGTGTTAAATATTAAACTGCGGCATGTTATCTCAGTGAGCTGGCACTATAAATCGGCATCAGTCCGGACTAATACAAGCAGCCACACACATGCATTCACGTCGCTATATAAGTGCAATAATCTTGGACGCGACGTTAAACCCAATTTCACCTCACCCCACCTTTAACTCTAAAACAGTGTGATAGGACTTATATGCATACTTATTACTCAGTGGCACACAAACTCACTGAAGTATAGTTTACACTTTTAGATAATATACTCTGTCACTATTGCCCTATAATGGCCAAAACTTCTAAGATTGCCGCCAAGAGATTGCTGGATAGACATGAAATATCAATACACTATTGGTCTTTGATGACATATTTGAGTAATTTGAACTTCTACACTGGGGTAAACAAACCCAAGGATGCATGTAGAATACTCAATCATTTGCATAAATCCAATATATCCACCAAATATCAAAATGTATCTCGTAAATGACATGTTTTGGCAAGTCTAAATATCAATATTGATTGTTATTGTCTGTATCTACTTATTACCATGAAAATAAACACTAGGATGAACACTAATAAAACACTTGTTTTCTTTAATATAAATACCAGTTGGAAAAACAGTGTGTCCACACGAGGTCCTCTCAGAATTAATCCAAACCAGTTGTTTCACTAGTAGTTCATTTGCGGAAATCCAATATAACCGCCAAATACCAATATTTGATTGTTTGTTTATTTGTTTAAAGCCGCATTCAGCAATATGACAGCTATATGACGACGGTCTGTAAATAATCGAGTCAGAACCAGATAATCTAGTGATTGATATCATGAGCAACGATCCACGCAATTGGGATACGATGACATGCATCAACCAAGTCAGCTGGCTTGGCCACCCGATCCCGTAAGTCGCCGTTTACGGCAAGCATGGGCTGCAGAAGACCTATTCTATCCCGGATCTACCCCGGATATTTAAATATAAACCTAAAAAGTGCTCATTCAGTTACATGATGGTGTGATTCGTGATCATTAGTACGTGATGAACAATGGAACAACTGTCAAAGTGAATGCTGTAGCTTGACGTTGCACGCTCATTATGTACATGTACATGTACCTCGAAAGTCACAACAGGTTTGTTATCCTCTGAGAAGTCTGGCAACTGTTAATTGGTACAGCTTGTATTCCCCGCACACAGCACTGCAAGTGAGACCATATTTCCGGTAAGTGCATCTTCGTATGTTACAGTCTTTTTTTAAATTACATCAGATGATGTCCTGGAGTGCTGAAGGTGCTGCAGGCTGATCTGAATGTATTGGTAAGCACCATCCATCTATCGTGTGCCATCCCCGCTCCATTATCTCTCTTTAACCCTTTCCACTCCATTATCTCGTAGTAGACACGGGGTCTGTGGTATCTTGTGGCTGCAGAGGATGGTGGCAGAGTTTGTGGCTCTACGTGTGATAGGATCTTCGTCACTTTCCCCCAAAATCGTTTGTATCACAAGCTATCCAGTCCTTCCTTCTTACATCCGCTATATAAGACACTATTGAATGTTTACGTGCTTCCGTGATGACTTTTTCATCCCCATTTTCTTCTGTTTGGCTGAACATTTTAGCCTGATCACAGAACAAGGAAGGCATTATTCTTCAATGCTAGACCCTTTCCCAAGCCAAACAGTCGAGGCGCGGTGTCACAGCCAAGAATTGTTTTTAAAAAGAGCACATGCTTACATACATCACTGCCCAGCAGCAGCGTTGATTGCTTCATGCACATAATCCCGTGCCTGCTTGAAGCTGGCTTGGGTTCAGGTGCCAGGAACAAGTCAAGTGCTTCCATCTTAACATGATGGAGAAGGCGGACGAGCAAGTCTGTGTCATCTCCCACCAGGACAGTGTGACAGCGTCTTGTTTTGAATGAACTGTTCTGCACCAAGCTCTCTCCGGTTTGTCACCCAGACAGACAATGAAACGCTGTTTGTGTTTTGCTTTGTTCTAGAGTTCTTCCTTCTACGATTGAATAATCATTTCCCCCGTGAAATAATCTATCTCTCGCCAGAAAAGGCCCCTGTGTTGCATCTTTCGTTGATGTATCATCATTATGGGTCCTGATAAGAATTAGGCCCCAGCATATACAGTAAAGTACGGTTATAACGAACTCAAAGGGACTACTAATTTTAGTTCGTTATAACCGTAGTTCGTTATAAGCATATATATAGCATAACTACAACAAATAGTCGGGACCAAAAAAGTAAGTTCGTTATATCCGTCAGTTCGTTATAACCGTGTTCGTTATAACCGTAGTTTACTGTAGAAGCACGCCTGTTGAAAAGAAAACATGCAACAGATTGCTACAAATCAGTGTATGTAATAGTATAAGTGATCTTAATCATGTTCAGAAAGTGTTTTTTTATTATGCCAAGCCGAGATATTGTACATTTTATAGGCAAACTTGTATTGCAGTTGAAAATATTTAGTGCATAACCGTGGCATGTGATTTATTTTCAGTAAATTCAGTGTATGTTTATATCAGCATTATGTAATGTATTGAAATGTCCTTTACTTAATATTAATAGGGTATATATTAGAGCCTATTCACTTTATGGTTCAAATATTTTGTATGATCTTGTAGATAATTATACTATATTTATGCTGGTTTATAGTCTCTCGTAACCCTTAACGGTTAGTTCATTTTGATTGTCTGGACTGGATTATTTACAGACCGCCGTGAGATATCTGGAATAATGCTGAATACAAACAAACACTTTCAATGATCCTATAATGAACTTTTATTTATTACTATTTCATGTAAGGTACTTTGATAAACAATTTGTCTGTCTCTGTCCGTCCGTCCGTCCGTCCGTCCGTGGTCAGGCTCGTTGACTTGGTTCATTGCATATCATTGTATGGATAGTATAGCGTGGATAGTTGCTCGGAACAGATGAATTGCGTCACATACATGTAGCCGGGATATTGCTGTGTGCGGCGTTAAACAACAGACAATGCTGATAAACGAACAGTTACGAATGCAGAAGCTGAACTTTAAAGCACGGACACAATGACCTACATAGAGAGCTGAAACGTGTACAGCTTCACGCAAGGCCGGTCACAAAATTACCCACAATGAGTCTCCAGTTGACTATTCATACATCTGATGGGTATCTATTACGCCACTCCAGCCCTGATCGTGCATTTGGCATCACGCTGCTGTAAAACTCTCGGCGCAGCTGGTCCGTCCCCCAGTATTGAAATCATCACCGACGTCTGCGAGCCTTCAAAATGTCGACCTACAAACTCATATATTTCGATCTTCGCGGTAAGGGTGAACTTGCCCGTCTGATACTTACATACCAGGGCCAGGAATATGAAGACTCGAGATTCTCTATGGACCAGTGGCCGGAAATAAAACCCAGTAAGTCAGTGTAATATATCGAGTGTATGTAATCTGAAATTCTGCTGCAACATATTGTGATTTATTCGTGACATGTCAATGAACTTCTCATTGAGTAAGCATAATAATAGCTTTCATTTTCCTGTTTCTTATTGTCGTTTGACTGTCATGTGAATTTGAAAAAACGGTTGTGTTGAACATGACAAGGTGCGAGAACTTTAGCTAGGTCATTGGCGGGCACAGACAGTTACGCCTCAGCTGTGCCTGTGTGTGAATCATTCCTTCTGTCCTCGCGCAGATATCGAGCGCAACACAGCCTCTGTTAGACTTGCACAAGTCTGTAATCATAATTCCTCGATTATATAAATAATCAAAACTTGTTGTCCCTTTAAAAGACTGCCTTGCGTCCTTGCGGTCTTTGCTTATCTAGACTTGCATATTATAGGGAGACATCCCATACATCCGTGGACTTATCATTCAGTGCAGGCTTGGATCAAGGCTAAGCCTCTTTCAAGTCTGTGTCGAAAAGCTGCTGCAAACGTTATACGTTAAAAACAAGACATTGGTGCATCCAAATCTAACCGCAAAATAGGAATCAGGAGGATTGTAAAGCTTGCGATATCACAAACGTGTCTACTGTGTCCCGATCACTGTTGTAAGGTATCCAAAACAAAAAGACATTCAATATAAACCCAAATTAAAAGTGTTTTGTCTAACTTATGGACAGAAAATAATCTCTGAAACAATATATTTCAGCATGTTCATGGTTCAAACAAACTTTCTGCGAACCTTAAGAAACGTGCATAAAATATCTGTTGTTGGCGTGCATGTACTTGAAAAAGAGATTCTTCATAGCATAATGATTTATCGGCGCCTGTAGTATGTTGTTCGCTCAACAGGTTACCGATACGAGGGTTCGATCCACTGGAATATAAAGAAAACATTTCTCATTTGATTTTACATCATTCCGAAGGTTTCATTATGGTGTTTAAATGCAAAGTAAATCCTAGCACCGGTGGCCCAGTCGTCTTAGAAGCCGCAATTCGCTGTGCCGAGCTAACCCAACTCTCTTACTCACTTTGCAAATTTGACTTGTATTTCACAGATAAAATAATCAACTAACCGCAATAGACCCTAATAGTAACATAGGAAATGTGAAATCAGGGGTGCAAAACCAATGTTTCGAGGGCGCGAAGCAGTCGGGTTTGGGGGCATGCCCCCTAAATAAATTTAAAAAATTAAAACCTCTTAAACGCTATTTCCTGCATTTTGGAACCGATTATGTTAGATTTTATTTGTAACAAATATTAGTAATTTATTTATTATAATTTTTTATTTGTAGTATATATAGGTGTTTCACCAACACCTTTAAGACTTTCAGTCAAGAAACATCTTTACGTTTTCACACTGTTTCTCGGGAGTCGTATTGTACATGGTAGCTACATTATTATGTAAAAAACAATATTGCTTTTTTTCATGATACTTGCACTTAAATATTTGAAAATATATCCCATTTAATCCCACATATTTTTTATTTTTAAAATCGTAGATCAATCCTGTATTATTGTTGTGAGAATATGTCCTTTGAACGTGGCATTAATCGGTATTTAATGACCATTTCAGAAATGCCCTTCGGACAAGTTCCAGTCTTGGAAGTTGACGGGAAAATGTTTTCTGAGAGTGTGGCTATAAATAACTTTCTAGCCCGGAAGTTCGGTGAGTACATTGTGAACAAATATACGCATGCGCAGGGATCAGTGAGCGAAACCAATCAGTTTGTATTGCGATCAGTCGCAAATGTTATATCATCGATATTTTCATCGGTTTGTATACACTACGTTCCTGACCACCCCTGTGGTTTAGTAGATAGGGCGTCTGCCCGGAGAGCGGAAGGTCGTGGTTTCGATATCCGGTCGCGTCCAACCAAAAGACGTTAAATATAGTACTTGTTGTTACCCTGTCTGGCGCTCGGCATTAAGGGGCTAAAACAAGGACTGGTGGGCTCGGAGTCAGTATACTGTGTCTGAGTGGGGTATTAAATATATAACTGCGGCATGGTATCTCAGTGGGCTAGCAGTATAAAATCGGCATCAGTCCGGACCAGTACAAGCAGCTACACACACACGTGCATACACGCCGCTATATAAGTGCAATGATCTTGAACGCGACGTTAAACCCCATTTCACACCATCTCGATAGTCCACTGTTTTTTTAACACTACATTCCTCCATCGCCCGTGCATAGATACGGTTATTATTCAGGTTATTTTGCTATCTTGGGGCGGTGGGGTAGCCTAGTGGTTAAAGCATTCGTTCGTCACGCCGAAGACCCGGGTTCGATTCCCCATATGGGTACAATGTATGAAGCCCATTTCTGCTGTCCCCGCCGTGATATTGCTGGAATATTGCTTAAAGCGGTGTCAAACCATACTCACTCACTAACTATGTTGTTGTTTTAACAAACACAACAGTGAAAGAAAGTAATTGGTTTCGTGAGTTTGCAGACCAATGGGCGTAAGATTTACATGGCTCAAACGACAAGGTTTCTCAGATCACTATTTGTACAACATCGACCATGCACTTGCGACCATTGGCTTCACACAGTATTTCAATGTAAGGTACTGCAGTAAACTACGTTTATAACGAGAACTCTTATTACGAACCGTCCGCCCGGAGAGCGGAAGGTCCGGGGTTCGATCCCCGGCCGCGTCATACCAAAAGACGTTAAAAGATGGTACTTGTTGTTACCCTGTCTGGCGCTCGGCATTAAGTATACTGTTTCTGAGTGGGGTATTCATGTTTAACTGCGGCATGGTATCTCAGTGAGCTAGCACTATAAATCGGCATCAGTCCGGACTAGTACAAGCAGCCACACAAACACACACACGTGCATGCAAGTCGCTATAAAAGTGCAATAATCTTGGACGCGACGTTAAACCCAATTTCACCTCACCTCACCTTATTACGAACTGACCGGTATAACGGATTTATTTTTTAGTCCCGCCCATTAGTTGTATATATGCTGTGTATACGCTTATGACGAACTACGGTTATTACGAACTCAAATTCGTGGTCCTATTGAGTTCGTTATAACCGTAGTTTACTGTAGTAGGGTTCACACAATTGAAGCACGGAGTAGGGCTCATTTGACTGAGTTATCCACGTCCTCATATTATAAGCAGATTAATAGAAAAACGCGTCACCATCTGAAAGGTACCGTGTATACAAGACCGTATTGACGTTCGGAATGTTACAGAAACGGGTCCGATAGTACAACAGGACAGCCAGGCCGAAACTAAAATGTGGTCACCTTCCATATACGATTAATACAATCCACCCTTATAAACATCCAACCCTAAATTTATCTACGCTGCTATGGCCCATAGGAACCAAGACTTGAAGGTATATGACGTCACATACAATATTAACTCGCCCATTTGCTTCAAACTTTATAGTAGAACTATTTTTATCAGTTGAGTAGGACAACTTTCAAACTGTTTTAGGAAAGTCGTTTCGATCATTTTGAAAAATAGGTTGTTTTGGGTTTTAAGAAAGTATAATTCTGATACTCAACAAGTAATGCATCATCAAGATTGGTTAGTTACAATGCGTGTCCTTGTACACTTCATGTCAACGTACCTCAGACCCGTGAAGATCCGGGGTAGAATAAGGCTTCAGCAAACCATGCTTGCCGTAAAAGGTGATCGGGTGGTCAGGTTCGCTGACTTGGTTGATGCATGTCATTGTATCCCAATTGCGTGGATCGATGCTCATGATGTCAGTCACTGGATTGTCTGGTCCAGACTCGATTATTTACAGATCGCCGTAATATAGCTGGAATATATCTGAGTGCGGCGTTAAACAACAAACAAAGACAAAGTCATCGTACCAAGACGGCGTGAATCTTTGGGCTGTAAACCACTTGTATGCATCCCCCGGCTTCAATGGTATATATCGTGGAATATAGCTGGAATACAGTATTATGTCAGTATTACTTCGGCTAGTTCATCTGCAACGCGGGGACCCCGGGAGGCCCAGTCGGCTAACACACTGCAATTCGCTGTTCAGAGTTGCGTCCCTTGGAAACGCCAGAAACCTGTGATCGTGGGTTCGAATCCCGGCTCGACCCGCTTATGTTTCTAGGTTTGTCGTGGATTTCACCAAAGTGGTTAACGTCCAAGACCTGCATCGGTTTAGGCTTTCCAACCACGTAATGCTGACACGCCGTGATATAACTGGAATACTGTTAAAAGCGGTCCGGGAGTTAAACCAAACTCACTCACGCAAATGTGACTTGTATTTCACAGATAAAATGGACAACTAGCCGCAATAGACTTTAATACTTACATAGAAAATGTGAAATTAACCCTTAAAGTGAAAGTCTCATGGGTTTATACAACTTTGCAGATTTTGATAGATCGTAACATTACCGCTGCTTTGTATCTCCCTCCAGGGCTATACGGAAGTACTGACTTCGAGATGGTTGAGGTGGACCAAGTTGTGGGCATCACCCAGGACATGTGGAAGGTCATCGTGGACTGGGTTCACGAAAATGATGAAACAAAAAAGGTTTGTCGTTAAAGTAGAAAGACCTTCGATACTGCTAAATACAGTGAAAAATAGGTCCCAAGTACCCAGTGCTTGTCGAAGAGACGACTGAAGAAGTTCGGTGATGAGGCTCGATGAGGACGTCATGCATTGCTTTGCCTGGTCCAGACTCCTATCTTTACACGGCACCGCGACACAGCTGAAACCTCAGCTGACTAAAGATCTAGAGGATGATCTAGAGGGTGATCAAGCTAGGTAACAAGCTCATTGCGGTTCATCTTGCCCTGATGGTGTGGATCATGATCCAGTCTCTGATTTGCCTGGCAGAGCTCCTTTACAGCTGAAAAGTTAGCCGACACCAGATGACTAAAGATCTAGAGGATGATCTAGAGGGTGATCAAGCAGGGTAACAAGCTCATTGCGGTTCATCTTGCCATGATGGTGTGGATCTTGAACCAGTCTCTGATTTGCCTGGCAGAGCTCCTTTACAGCTGAAAAGTTAGCCGACACCAGATGACTAAAGATCTAGAGGATGATCTAGAGGGTGATCAAGCTAGGTAACAAGCTCATTGCGGTTCATCTTGCCCTGATGGTGTGGATCATGATCCAGTCTCTAATTTGCCTGGCACAGACTCCTTTACAGCTGAAAAGTTAGCCGACACCAGATCTTGAGGATCGGGCTCGGTGACCAGCTAATTTGTTCTTGCCTTTGTCATAATGGTGTTGCTGGTTCCTGGACCAGACTCCTATATTTACAGAGCTTCGCAATACAGCTGAAACGTTAGTCGACAAACAATCTGGGGGACCAGGTGACCAGGCCTGGTAATTGCATTTCATCTTGCGCTGATCACAATGGTGTGGGTCGAACTCAGTCACTGATTTGCCTGGTCCAGGCGCAATCATTTTCAGACAACCGTGACATAGCTGGAATATTGCGGCCTTTTGGCAACTGCTGTGTTTATCAGTTTATTGAAATTTATAGTACACCGTGGGTATCTTGGTTTCATTATTAAATGCAGTCTACATTGGATCGGGGGGGCTGGTCCAGTGACTAGGTTGATTGCAGGCAAGTGGGAGATTTGGACTGGGGTGGATAGGGTGTAGATGGGTTTGGGGGGTGGAATGGGAATTGGGTGAGGGGGAGGTTGGTTGGGGAGGCTAGGGTTTTTGTTAGATTCACCATCTCCGGATGCTTTCAATACAGCTTGGCAAATAAACTTTATCCAGTGATTTTGGAAACAAAATAAATTCATAAATAACATCCCAAGTCCCCCTCCATATATGATATGCAAATGATCCTAATCCGACTGTGTTCGGACGTTGCTGTCAATATTAGGCTCTTGTTTGCTTCTCCAAGACTCAATTATTTATTAGAGCTGGAATATTGCTGACAGCGGCGTAAACCAACACTCAGCTGATATATGTTTCTCTGTTTTAGGCTGCCTTGCAGAAGGAAAATGAGGAGAAGAATTTCCCCAAATATCTGGATTTCTTCGAAAAGATTCTGAAAACTAATGACACTGGCTTCTATGTTGGTAATCAGGTATGTTTGACTGACGAAAATACATCACAGTGTATAATCTCCACCAGTAACTCAAATAACATAGGCCCCTTTTTTTATTTTTTTATTTTTGTTTTGATGAGTAAAAAAATATTACAGAAAATAGCCACGATTTAGCCTTGCAGCCTTGCAGCCGTCACTCAAAGCCATGATCATTTATCATTATACACGAATTTGTCGATCAACTTCACATTTCCAAATTGGTCAAAATACCATTTAGACCTCGTGTCCAAGCATATCGTGAAGGTATATCACGGCGCGGCAGCTTGATGTTGGATGAAAGACCGAAGTGATGCAGGTCTCAGTTGTTTACCATGAGCACGGGTATGGTGCTGACAACAAAGAAACATTATCGTGGCAAACCGGGAATCGAACCAACGATCATGGGTTTCTGGCGTGCCCAAAACAACGACACTGTTTCCCGGGCTCACTGATGTAGGATGAGATGAGTTTAAGCGAAAAGGGGATCCGGGGATCGAACCCATGACCTTCCGCTCTCCGGGCAGACGCTCTATCCCCTAGACCACGGAGACGGTCTTAAGTAGGACGATGGTACGCAGATATGTTTACCACTATTGTTCAACCTGTGCGCTCTCGGTATGGTGCCAAAGATCCTTATTTTGGTTAATCGTGGATCCGAACCCACGACCAAAGCATCCCTGGACTTTACTCTGCGGCTCCTAAGATGTCTCCATGCAGATTTTATGTTCACAGTATTGGTCACTGACAGGGGTGTTTAAGGCACCACCCTTGAAGATTCCATGTTATAATTGGTCTTCAGCAACCCATGTTTGTCTGAGGAGGCGACTAACAGGATCAGGTGATCAGACTCGGTGACTTGGTTCATGGATGTCATCGCACCCCATTTGCGTCGATCGATGCTCATGACATCAATCAAAGATTCGATTAAGTACAGACCGTCGTCATATAGCTGGAATAGTGCTGTATGTGGCGTTAAACAACAACAAAAAACAAAAAACCCACTATGGTTCAACATGAGCACGCTGGGTATGGTGCTCACAAACCAAAGATCAAAATTTGGGTGAATCGAGGATTCCAACCAATGAGTATAGCACCCCGACACACCAAGAGGTCTTGATTCTGCGGCGCCCGAGATCTCACCTGGCAGATATTATGCCCACAGTTTTGACCACTGATCTTCAAGGCACCATCATCGGTACGGCAATGACAGACTACAGATCATAAAGCGTGTGAATCAGGGATCTCACACAACTCTGAACCCATGTGTTAAACTGTTTGGCCATCAACGGTTTTCCGTCATGCTTTTTTTGTTTGTTTCAGCTGTCATATGCTGACCTGGCGGTGTTCGATGCCCTGGACATAGAAGTACCCGACTCTGTTGTGGATCGGTTTCCCCTGGTTAAAGCCAACAGGGAGAGAGTGAGGACAAACGACAAACTCAAAGATTACATCGCGTCGCGCAAGGAGGCTACTGTCTGAGTCAGACAGATATCTTTGTCTGATATTTGACTCTCAAATTGAAATCCGCATAACTTGAAATCCCTTGATCTGTTTAAATACGCAATGTCTATTTTGATTAAATTGCTGTTATGGTTTTATACTCAGTTAATTTATTTATTTGCTCGACCGGCGAAGGGACCAATATGGATTTCGCGTAAGAATATATAGGTCCCCAGCAACCTTTGCTGTTTGTAAGAGTCTCCTATAGATCGGGTCGTCAGGCTCGTTGACTTATATCATGTCATGTCACCGTACTCCGAGGGCATGGATCGTTCTTCATAATATCAATCACTGGAATGTCTGGTACAGCCATGCAGCTAAAGCGTTAAACAAACTAGCGGAGGAGAATCTAAGCTATTGTCTGACTGCATCGTCCATCAGTTAATATTTGACATTAAGCTCTACTGACTGAAAGTTTTCTATCTGTCTGTCCGTCAGTCCGACGTCTGTCCTGACACAAGGCCAATGAAGCTGCAACTTTGGATGATCACAATGATGAGTAGATTGACACATTGATACAGCTGGGTAGATCGAAACAATGATAGGCAGATCGACACATTGATACAGCTAGGTAGATCGACACAATGATCAGTAGATCGACACATTGATACAGCTGGGTAGATCGACACAATGATCAGTAGATCGACACATTGATACATCTGGGTAGATCGACACAATGATAGGCAGATCGACACATTGATACAGCTGGGTAGATCGACACAATGATAAGTAGATCGACACATTGATACAGCTGGGTAGATCGACACAATGATAAGTAGATCGACACATTGATACAGCTGGGTAGATCGACACAATGATAAGTAGATCGACACATTGATACAGCTGGGTAGATCGACACAATGATAGGCAGATCGACACATTGATACAGCTGGGTAGATCGACACAATGATCAGTAGATCGACACATTGATACAGCTGGGTAGATCGACACAATGATAGGCAGATCGACACATTGATACAGCTAGGTAGATCGACACAATGATCAGTAGATCGACACATTGATACAGCTGGGTAGATCGACACAATGATCAGTAGATCGACACATTGATACATCTGGGTAGATCGACACAATGATAGGCAGATCGACACATTGATACAGCTGGGTAGATCGACACAATGATAGGCAGATCGACACATTGATACATCTGGGTAGATCGACACAATGATAGGCAGATCGACACATTGATACAGCTAGGTAGATCGACACAATGATCAGTAGATCGACACATTGATACATCTGGGTAGATCGACACAATGATAAGTAGATCGACACATTGATACAGCTGGGTAGATCGACACAATGATAAGTAGATCGACACATTGATACAGCTGGGTAGATCGACACAATGATAAGTAGATCGACACATTGATACAGCTGGGTAGATCGACACAATGATAGGCAGATCGACACATTGATACAGCTGGGGAGATCGACACAATGATAAATAGATCGACACATTGATACAGCTGGGTAGATCGACACAATGATAAGTAGATCGACACATTGATACAGCTGGGTAGATCGACACAATGATAAGTAGATCGACACATTGATACAGCTGGGTAGATCGACACAATGATAAGTAGATTGACACATTGATACAGCTGGGTAGATCGACACAATGATAAGTAGATCGACACATTGATACAGCTGGGTAGATCGACACAATGATAAGTAGATCGACACATTGATACAGCTAGGTAGATCGACACAATGATAAGTAGATCGACACAATGATAAGTAGATTGACAAAGTGATACATCTGGGTAGAGCGTCACACTGATTCACCTTGGTACACAAACACACTGATACAAACACACTGATACAGCTCATGCATAGCATTCAATATATCTCAGTCTTAGAAATTTATTCTCATTATGTTATGAAATCATTTTTTTAATCACATGCTTCACAAGGTCTTAGACGCTTTGGTGTGCTGTGCAACAACACATTGGGGCCAGTATATGTTCATGTAAGAACATTCTTCATTTGAAACAATAAAGCCAAGACAGCTGAAACGTTGTGACGATATAACTTTTTTAGCTCACCTGACTGAAGGCAAGTGCGCTTATGTCGTTGCGCATTGTACGTCACACTTCATCCGTCCGTGTTAATGCACATTTTACGACATCTCTGATGAAATGACAAGGTCTATGAAGCTGAAACTTGAAATGTAGGTAAAACGAGCCATCTAGTGATTTCTCGAGCTCCTTGAACCAGGTAGCCCGCCAACAACTGTAAAGAAGGCCGTAGACAAATTCCTCTCAACGAAGTTGTCTATACCGAGAGGGTAACGAAGGTGTCAAGCCCTGGTACGGAGTTTGGACTGTGGACTCAAAGGGGGGCCAATCTATGTTTTGAGCTGCCGTGAGAGAATCACCAGAGGCCAACAGAACACATTTTAAGAGCGCCTCATTTAATTTGCTGCCACTCACACTCATCAGAAATAAAGATAAATATATATTAATACTGTCACATAACATTGAATGAACAAATACTGCTTTTAAGCCGTATCAGCAATTTTCGTGCTGTTCACGGCGAGAACCAGTTGATAAAAATCCAACATGTGCATGTAAATAACAATCAAAGACGTCTTAAAATATCAGCTGACTATCAGCTTGTTATTGGCTTCTTTATCCTAATTTGACTGCCAACATATTGATTAACATCTTGCCTGATAACTGGCTTACAGTCAGTACAGGGGAGTTTAGTGTGCGTTACCGTTTGCTCAATAGCATCGTTTGCTGCCGCATCATGTGATTAATTGGACCAACACCATGTGTTCATACCTTGTTACTAATACTCAAACTTTGACGCACTTCCAAGAACATGTTTTAAAAAGAATTGCTAGGGCAGTGATAATAAACTCCATTAAACGTCGCATTTGCCTGTCAACCCAACCTTCCACAATTAATTATTTTAAACCCCGGGTCTGCGAACTGTGCTCATCGTAAGAGGCAACTAACGGGGTCGGGTGATCAGGCTCGTTGACCATTTACAGATCATATTCATGTCGATTCATCTAGTTTAGTTATATACTAGTACCTAGTATATTTTCCCGGGTGAAACCTGTCAGTAACATAAAGCATAGGACGCAAAGGGTGGCCGCATCCAATCAGGTCCAATCAGGTATCTGTGTTTCAGCATTACCATGTACATACCCCAGTATTTGTTCTAATAACCAGAGGGGTTGAAGTAGCGTAAAATTATTGTCCCCCTAAGAGGGTATGTAAGTCCCACATCATTCGAAGTATTTTATGCATGCCAGAATTTCAAAACGTAGTAGTTTTGTCATTTTAATCTAAGGCTTAACTGGTAAACTATCACCAGTGACTGAAGGGAGGATATAAATCCTGCCGGGGTCCATGCAGGAAGCAAAGGCAGTCTAAGTCCCCATGGTCCCTGGTATGGTGATCTCCTTGTAGTTACTGACGATCTCTAGCCCATTTTTATATTGTGTTGTTAATTCTTTCTGCTTTTAAATGTTCCTCAGCTAGTTTTAAATATACTCTGTGACATTCTAGTTATTCTGTGATATTATAGTTAACGTCATTGTTCATGTTATTGTTCATGTCATTGTTCATGTTAGTGTTCTTGAAATTGTTCCTGTCAGTGCTCGCGTCATTGTTCATGTCATTGATCATGTGAATGTTCACGTCATTGTTCAAGTCTCTGTTCATGTGATTGTTCACGTCATTGTTCTTGTCATTGGTCATGTCATTTTAACGTCATTTCTCATGTCATTTACCATGTCATTTGCCATGTCATTCACCATGTCATTGTCCACGTCATTGTTCATATCATTGTTCATGTCAATGTTCATGCCATAGTTCTTGTCATTGTTCACGTCATCATCGCTCTCTCTCTCTCTCTCTCTCTCTCTCTCTCTCTCTCTCTCTCTCGCTTTTTCGAGTGCCGTTTATATTCACCGATGTGTAGTAGTGTAGCTAAGGGATCATGTGTATGTGTGTGTGTGTGCGTGCGTGCGTGCGTGCGTGTGTGCGTGCGTGTGTGTGTGTGTGTGTGTGTGTGTTTTCGTCTAGGAATACGCTTATCTCACTAAGTGGGGCTGCGGGGAAGCCTTGTAATGTTAACGCGTTGGTGTTTCACGCCGAACACCCTGGGTACAGTCCATTTCTGGTGTCCCCTGTGGCTGGAATATTTGTGAAAGCTCCCTTCAACAGATTTGATTCCTTCTTATAAAGTTGCTTAGCATGTTTATTCTTATACATGTAATTGACATGTATTTGATGTTACGGATCATATTCAGATCCCTCTTGATGCATATATCTTAATTTCTCTATTTACGTACTGATGAGGCCACAGGCCTATAGTACATTTATGATTTGTACATTCAGAGCAGAGTCTATAACATAATAGTTTTCCTGTGTCTCATTGCATGATAAATGTACATAGATACATTTTGTAAAAGTAAGTACTTAGAGTTGTTTAACAGAGATGTGAATTTAAAGAAATTGGGATTGACATGGCATGGTAATATTCAGATATATACTTATCCCTTAATGTTGCATAAAATGGGCATATAAGAAGGAAGTGGTATTCATCTTCAATGTCATTCAGTGCGCACAATTGACAAATGCGTTCTTAATAGCCGTGTAACGTCCAGTTTCAATAAATAAATCATGTGAACAACATCGAAATCTTGCTGAGGAAACACGGATTTTTTTTCTACATTTAACAAGATAAATACTGTTCGGGATATAAATCAGTTTTTACCATTTTGTAATAAATACATTTGTTTGATTCAGATATAGATTGAGACGTATTTTGTAAATATATATCTTTTAGTCTTTGTGTCAAATGATCTAGTGAAATAAGAATGACATTGTATATTTTGTTCACACCATACATAGCCATAACCAACCGAAAACAGCAAGTCTTTTAAGTCTGTTACCCAATTTCGTTTTCCATTTTTATCAAAGAGTACCATCATATAATAACATTTTTTCGGGAATCTAAAAGATGGGATATTCAATCATCTTAATCAATATTTAATAACCTTTAGATATGAATATATATATATAGATAGATTTGAAATCTGCCACAACCACCATAT